TTGTCCAACAGGGATGACAGCTTAGCCGCCATTCTCCTGTCACTCACCACCTCCACTGGGTCCAGAGGGCATCCTAGAACAGAGCTGGCCCTTCGGATCAGCCTTCATCTTACTCCAGTCTCCTGTATATAGCATCACATGCTAGATCTGACTCATCAGCCTTTATATCATGAGTCGCAGTCAGATTGATGGTTGTTCATGAATGTTCATTAATGCATTATTTGTAGTTAAAATAATGTATTCCTTTTTGGAGTTTATTTTATAAAACCTTCTATGTTTGTATAGCTTTTCACTATGTTCATAGAATAGATATAATATGTAATGATATGATTAATATAATAGATAATATCCTTCATATTCTGGCGTCTAAAATTGCAAATGTAGGTCAACTGTCTGATTAAATAAACAGACTAATATGATTTCTGTTTAAATGAAAATTTATTCAAAATAAATTAAAAAATAAAATGTGTTAATGAGAAAATGTTAAAAATGTTGAGATCAAACAAGTTTTATTATAAAGTAAAAAGCAATAACACTGAAGAGGATATTTCCCCATTCAGAGGATGGTCATTTATGGTAGATGTCTGGTTATTTTACTTGGAAAAAAAGGTTCAGTAATGATGAGTAAAGCCCACAGAAAAGATGAATTGGAGTTGATGGGAGCAGTGAGACACATGAATTTGTCTTGCTGGAAAAGTTGCAGTACAGAGAGGAATGCCTCTCATAAAGGTTTCCGACACATTCACAAGCTCAAACTGAGAGAAAATACACTGCATGCTTGTCGCATTTCTTTCTTACATGCGAGTGAGTCAAGGCTGTTCTGTGGTTGAGTATGAGGAAATGTCACTTTAGCCTAGCTGAGGGTTGGACAGGTGCAGAAATAGACATTTTATCTCATGCAGACAGTTTATCTCTCAGTGCATTCAAAGATCCTTTATGGTTATAGGTCTCAGGTAAGCTTAACCTGAACTCTCTGATTTTGCAGTGTTGAAGGAGGAGTTCAGTATGCAGCCTACTGATGTGGAAGTGGCAGAGGGGGAAATGGCTGTTTTAACCTGCAGCCCCCCAGTGGGACATCCGGAACCTAATGTTGTCTGGAAGAAGGATGGGCTGCCCATCAGCAGTGCTGATCATCATTACACTGTGAGCTGTCTGCCCCTAATAAATCTATTACAGCTATATAACCTGTGTAAAATAGATTCTTACAACTGTTTGAAATGGAACTTCACAACTATTAACAAATGCAAAGGGCACCGTCACATGATGCTTCCTCTTAAGAACTTGCACTCTGACTTTTAATTCAATTCAATTCAATTCAATTTTATTTATATAGCGCCAAATCACAACAAAAGTCGCCTCAAGGCGCTTCATAGATACAGAGAAAAACCCAACAATCATATGACCCCCTATGAGCAAGCACTTTGGCGACAGTGGGAAGGAAAAACTCCCTTTTAACAGGAAGAAACCTCCGGCAGAACCAGGCTCAGGGAGGGGCGGCCATCTGCTGCGACTGGTTGGGGTGAGAGAAGGAAGACAGGATAAAAGACATGCTGTGGAAGAGAGACAGAGGTTAATAACAGATATGATTCAATACAGAGAGGTCTATTAACACATAGTGAGTGAGAAAGGTGACTGGAAAGGAAAAACTCAATGCATCATGGGAATCCCCCGGCAGCCTACATCTATTGCAGCATAACTAAGGGAGGATTCAGGGTCACCTGGTCCAGCCCTAACTATGTGCTTTAGCAAAAAGGAAAGTTTTAAGCCTAATCTTAAAAGTAGAGATAGTGTCTGTCTCCCGAATCCAAACTGGAAGCTGGTTCCACAGAAGAGGGGCCTGAAAACTGAAGGCTCTCCCTCCCATTCTACTTTTAAATACTCTAGGAACAACAAGTAGGCCTGCAGAGCGGGAGCGAAGTGCTCTACTAGGGTAATATGGTACTACAAGGTCATTAAGATAAGATGGGGCCTGATTATTTAAGACCTTGTATGTGAGGAGCAGGATTTTGAATTCAATTCTGGATTTAACAGGAAGCCAATGAAGGGAAGCCAAAACAGGAGAAATATGCTCTCTCTTTCTAGTCCCTGTCAGTACTCTTGCTGCAGCATTTTGGATTAGCTGAAGGCTTTTCAGGGAGTTTTTTGGACATCCTGATAATAATGAATTGCAGTAGTCCAGCCTGGAAGTAATAAATGCATGAACTAGTTTTAGCATCCACACCTTTGTGCATGTTCCAACCCTTTTAATGACCCTGCAGGACTTCTTTCAGGGCAGTTTCTATGGTAGGAAAAAGCTGGATCCAAATAGGTGAATATCAAAACAATCCAGTATCAGTGTGAAATTTGTCATGTCGGCTAAACCAACAAACAGCAACACAGCAGCCAGCTCTTGGAGGAATTCTCATCAAATTGACAACAATATTACGTTCGTTTGACAGTAACGCTCTAGAGGGTAGAAACGGATCAGATGAGGAATACTGGCACTGAAATCAGCCTTGTAGATGCAGGTGCAGACATTGCTGTCAGATTAACATAACAACAGCAGCAGGAGGTAAATGCATAGTTCTTAAGGTAACACTGTTTGCATTGATAAGAGCATAGTACTGGATTGAATTCATTCACTAAAAATCACCATTGTATTAAAAAAACTGGAGAAAAGTCAGACTATAAATTCTCGATAAATGCATTTGCAGAGGTTTGCCTGTGAAAGCAGGTCAGTACAAATCAATTTAGCTTTGAGCTCTAAAAAGTGCATGCTTTTACATTTCCAGCAGGGAGTTACTCCTGGTTCCACAAAGAAGTCTGATGGAAAATCGTCTGGGCGTTTTGTTGTGTGACCTCTACTAATGAGTTTATGGTCTCAAGTCACCAGTTTCAAGTGTACATATATGTATAGATCCTGTGCGATTTCCACATCCTGTCTACATTGTGCTTCCGCTGCAGGAGCTGAATGGGAAGCTTATCATCGGTCCTGCAGAGAAAAGTCACTCTGGTGCTTACGTGTGTGCGGCCATCAACACTGTGGGGGAGAGGGAGAGCAGGGCAGCTCGGCTCTCTGTGCTGGGTGAGACAGGAACTGAAAACAACTCATCACTGTGTTAGCATCGCTAGTTTCCAATGCAATGTCAGGATTCCAAAGCAATATTACCCTCTGTAAGATTACCCTGTGCAAGTTTTCCTTCTGCAAACGAAACACTTTGATACATGCAAAGCATAGTTCTGAGTTTCTCTTCTGTTGTACTGCAGCCAAGCCCGTACTGGTGCTGAAGCCAGAAAACGTATCAGTAAGAGCGGGAGAGTCTGCCCAGTTTTACTGCCAAGCTAAAGGTGACCCTCCACCTGCTGTGGTCTGGAGCAGAGAGCAGGGACCACTGCCCAATGGCAGGTAATATAGAACCCTTTCATATGGTCACTGGCTAATATTCGTTTATGCTTTATGGGTGTGGAAACATTGCAGACTGTGGCGATTTTAAGTGTTAACATTTTATGTAAAACAGACACAAAACACCAAAAAGCACTGCGCTTCAGAGCAGTCTTTGTTTTTCAAATTCAAAAGTCCAAATTATTCTTAATCTTTGTCTACATTTCATTTCATTTCATTTCATTTATTTATTTATTTCACACTTGGTACAAAAAAATCAAACAAACCAACCACACTTTCTATCAAAAGCACTACAACCATGTGTGAAAAGGAGCAGGAATAAGAAAATATTCTTATTAAACCCTGCCCCCTATCTACAATCCAATTTATATTACAAGTGGGCACCAAAAATCAGGGAACAAACCAACATTAACATTTATCTCCGGTCCTAACCCAAACCAAACAACAAATTTACAATCAGAATATACAACTCCACATAGTAACAAGGAGAAAAATTAAAATTAAAATAAATAAAACAAAAAATTATAATGGATCCTTTTTCAATGAACTCCAATTTCATTCACATTCTTCATATTGAGTTATCGTTTTAAGCATGTAACACTTTTTAAAACAATGTAAATTTATACAATTCTTTAAATTATAATGAAGTGAGTTCCACAGTCGTATACCCCTAACCCTTGGACTCATTAATCTTTGTGTAGTCCTAACTAACTGATGCTTAAAATCTTCTCCCCCTGAACACAATAAAAATACTCTTTGTAACTTAAAGGGCAAAATATTGTTTTTAGCCTTAAACATAATTAATAGTGTCCGTAATTTCACTAAATCTCCTAATTTTAATAATTTCGATTTTATAAATAATTTATTTGTATGTTCTCTATATTTAACATTATGAATCATTCATATCACTTTCTTCTGTAATAGGTTTAGAGGTTTTATAGTATTCTCATATGTATTCTCCCAAACTTCCAGTAACTAAAATATGAGAAAAACAATGAAAAATATAAAATGCACATTGTTTTATAGTCTAATAAATCTCTTACATTTCCCAAAATATAAATGTTTTTAACCATCTTCTTTCTAATATACTCAATATGTGATTTCCACGTCAAATTTTCATCTACTATTACACCCTACATCAAGCTGTTAAGTTTGTTCACGGAAGTTACTTTCCTTATATGGAGGCTTGTAAATGAAATCAGTTGAATCTATGCTATGTCTAAATGTTGATTCTTTTAGACGAGATGAGGGGGACGTGAAATTTCAAATCCATGTGTGCACAGGTACATCGTAAACCCAGACCAGACTCTCCAGATCCATTATGTGACAGCCCTGGATGCCGGGAAGTACACCTGCACTGCTCTCAATGATGTGGGTGTGGTCACTGCCAGTGCACAGCTACTAGTTGAAGGTGAGGTTACATGATAATGCTGTTAAAATATATCTGGTGTCATGTGTTTTACAATCACTCGATGAATGTTAAAAACACTCTGCTTCAGAGTGGGCCATCAGAATGTTTTCCTACAATTACTCTAAGTGTAGGAAATAAGTGCTTCCTTCACACAGTGACATTTCTGTTTTACAGCAGTCAGAGCCACAGTTTAGAAATGATTGTTATGATTTGATATGTTGAAACGAATTCATTTCATCATGTGGTGTCTACGACTTTACTTGTAGTCTTCTGAATTCAGTAATTTAGACGTGATTGTAGTAAGTCCACACTTGGGAGGTAGGTTTGTGATTAGATTATTGTTCGTCTTTGTGCAAAGGTCTGCACATGAAGGAGAGAACAGTAATTTCCCAGAAAGTGCTGTAGGTTTTTTATTAAAACAAAGTGACATTATATACAGGATGCAAAGGCAGAGGTGTTTTTCATAAATTAGCTGATTTGGTCAGTAAATAGCTGAAGAATAGCAGAAATGTTAAGCACAGCTGCTCATTCTGGAGTAAGATCTTATAAGCTGTGGGCGTGCTTTGCTGCATACATTTGCATTTGAATGAGTTGAAGCAGTTTTTGAAACTCGTGTTGGAGTTGTCCATGACAATCAACTGTGTTTTTGTCATGGAGTACCTGTTGTCTAACTGAAAAATAACTTACCACAATTGTATATGCAAAAATATGATGCAAAAAATACCTTAGTTCAGCTTCAGACATTATAATATGCTCACTTGCAGATACTAAAGTGCTTATGCAATTCCACAGTTGTAGATATTTATTTATCTCATACACCTTTCTTTAACACCTCTCCATAAAAAAATCATTATCTTTGCACTGTCCAATGCACATGATGTTAAAATGTTTACTCATAGATTTGAGCAGTTAATGAAAAATAACAGAGAGGGAACCATGTGAATCATATGCTATGGTCTTCATAACTGCAAAATCTCAGTCCATCTGAACAGCTGTGAGGGTTTAGCAATCTCCCCACCATCATCATTGCACCAAATGAGGGTGAAGAATGATGTTTATCCTTTGGTTAGCAATTGAGGGATTTGAAGTATCAGTGGAAAGACTTTATGAATCTGTAATGTAAGTTTAGAGTCTTTAGGAACATGTTTGTGTTCAAAGAAACCATGCAGTTCTATGTCAGCGGTAGATTCTTGCTGTGTGAATGAATTCATGAAACAAGAATGCTCTAGGCTAGCGGTCTCCAACCTTTTTTGCGCCACGGACCGGTTTATGCCCGACAATATTTTCATGGACCGGCCTTTAAGGTGTCG